GATCTCAGCTCACTGCAACCACTGCTTCCTGGGTTCAGGCAAGGCCCCTGCCTCAACCTCCCGAGTAGCTGGGACCGCAGGCGCGCGCCACCACGTCCGACTACTTTTTTGTATTTTTAGTAGAGACGGGGTTTTACCATGTAGGCCGGAATGGTCTTGATCTCCTGACCTTGTGATCCGCCTGCCTTGGACTCCCAAAGTGCTGGGATTACAGGTGTGAGCCACCACACCCAGCCACGGGGCATTATTCAGATTAAATACCCACACCCTTTCACTTGGCAGTTCTGTGTGCGCAGACCTAGATTTCTTTTTTTTTCTTTTTGAGACAGAGTCTTGCTCTGTTGCTCAGGCTGGAGTGCAGTGGTACGATCTCAGCTCACTGCAGCCTCCGCCTCCCAGGCTCAAGTGATTCTCCTGTCTCAGCCTCCCAAGTAGCTGGGACTACAGGCACGAGCCACTACACCCGACTAATTTTTGTATTTTTACTAGACACAGGTTTCACCATGTTGGTCAGCCTGGTCTTGAACTCCTGATCTCAAGTGACCCACCCACCTTGGCCTCCCAAACGGCTGGGATTGCAGGCCTGAGCCACCACGCCTGGCCCAGATTTCTGAAGGGCTCAACCGCGCATGCAAAGACAGAGGTTAACTTTCAGGCTGAGTGCCGTGACTCATGCCTATAATCCCCGTGCTCCAGGAGGCTGAGATGGGAGGATCAGCTGAGGCCAGGACTGCAAGACCAGTCTGGGCAACACGGTGAGATCCCATCTCTACCAAAAAAAAAAAAAGAAAAACTTGCCAGGCGAGTGGCAGGCACCTGTGGTCCCAGCTCCTTGGGCAGCTGAAGTGGGAGGATCTCTTGAGTCTAGGAGTTCTAGGCTGCAGTAAGTCGTGATCACACCACTGCACTCCATCCTGGGCAACAGAGCAAGACTGTATCTCAAAAAAACAAGGGCTGGGCACAGTGGTTCACGCCTGTAATCCCAGCGCTTTGGGAGACTGAGGTGGGCGGATCATCTGAAGTCAGGAGTTCGAGACCAGCCTGGTCAGCATGATGAAACCCTGTCTCTACTTAAAAAAAAAAAAAAAAAAAAAAATCAGCTGGACGTGGTGGCAGGCACCTGTAGTCCCAGCTACTTGGGAGGCTGAGGCAGGGAGAACTGCTTGAGCCCAGGAGGCGGAGGTTGTAGTCAGCTGAGATAACGTCACCGTACTCCAGCCTGGGCGACAGAATGAGACTCTGTCTCAAAAAAATAGAAACAAGCCCGGCAACTCATGATCAGGGGCTACTTCTGGGTGGTGGAACTATTCATGGCTTTTACTATTTTTTTTTTAAGAGTTTTTTCTGCCTTGTTTTATCGCCCCAAAACAAAAGCAAGAATGATGGAAACTCAGAAGTGACTCACTCCAGGTCACACAGCCAGGCATGGGGCTGCCCCCAGGTCTCCAGACCAACGCTGTGCCCTCCCATCCCCCGATGAGCCCCACCGACTGTAGGAACACAAGAGGGTCTGCAGTGCTGGGAAGAGAGGGTTCTCGGAGAATCAACCAGCTCTCTTTCCCTCCTTTCCAGGGCGACTCTGGGGGCCCCCTGGCCTGCGAGGAGACCCCCGGCGTGTTTTATCTGGCAGGGATCGTGAGCTGGGGGATTGGCTGTGCCCAAGTTAAGAAGCCCGGCGTGTACACGCGCATCACGAGGCTGAAGGGCTGGATTCTGGAGACCATGGCCTCCCAGCCCCTTCCCGTATCTCCGCCCTTGACCACAAGGACGCTGGCCACCACCAGCCATCCCCCCAGGACGACGGCTGGCCTCACAGTCCTGGGGCCCACCCCCAGCCAACCCACCCCCGTGGCCACCAGCAGGGTGACCGGCCAACCTGCCAACTCAACCTTATCTGCTGTGAGCATCACCTCTGGGGGACAGACGCCACTTCCAGACAGCCCAGAGGCCACCACCCGCTACCAGCTACCAGGTACTGTGAGACAGAGGGACCCCTGTAGTGGAGGGTACTGTGACCATCAGCTCAGGCTGCCTAACAAGTCGTAACATCCCAGGGCGCGGGGGCTCATGCCTGCCATCCCAGCACTTTGGGAGGCCGAGGCCGGTGATCACCTGAGGTCAGGAGTTTGAGACCAGCCTGGCCAACATGGTGAAACTCCGTCTCTACAAAAAACACAAAAATTAGCTGGACGTGGTCGGGTGCACCTGTGGTCCCAGCTACTTGAGAGGCTGGGGCAGGAGAATTGCTTGAACCCAGGAGGCAGAGGTTGCAGTGAGCTGAGATGGTGCCACTGCACTCCAGCCTGGGCCACAAGAGGGAGACACTATGTCGGGGGGGTGGGGGAGGTAAGCCAGGGGCTTTGGTGGTTCACAGTCTCGCTGTGTCCCTGGGCGGGTGTTTCTTGTTAACTTGGCACCTGCCCTTATCCGGGTCTGTCCCGGCAGCCTGGGGGCTCTCGCTGTCTCAGTCTGAGCTGCTTTACTTTTTCAGTAGTTATGGCCTGGGAGCTCTTAACTTTGGGCGCAAAAGAGGTAGAGAAGGCCCCCTTGAAATGGAGGCGGGCTTTTTGTGGAGACAGCTGGCAATCCCAAGGACAGGGGCTGCGGCCGCCATCGGATTTGCCAAGGCCACCTGGTCTCGGATCAGGTCTGGACGGTGCCAGGGCTGGCGGGGAAGTGGAACTTCTCTTCCGTGCTGGCCTTCGAGTCTGCTTCGCATGGGACTGCGGGGAGCACCCAGGGAAGCCAGCTGGGTGGTGATAGAGGGTGGGGTGGGGGCTAGCCCGAGGAGGAAAACGGCCCTCTGGAGACATCAGGTGGGTATGGGTCCCCCTCCATGGGTGGTAATGGGGTCCCTGGAAACCACCCACGCATTCTTCCACAGCTGAGTTCTGAGGGAGGCCTCTGGGCTCCACGAGGCTGGGAGGTCTCAGCCTGCAGGGAATGTCAGGGAAGGGGATGGGGCCATCAGGGACCCAGGCAGAGAGCGCCAGGGCAGGGCGGGGGCTCTGGGGAAGGGCCCTGTGTCTGCCAAGGCCTTGGGGTGGGATGGAAGTCCTGGAGGCCTGAGGTGTGGTAGGCTGCCCTGCCAGACGCCACCTGCCTGGCCCCAGCAGGGGTGGTGTGGCCTGAAGCTGAAGTCATAGGGAACACAGGCATTCCCACTGTTATCTGGGAAAAGCCCAGACACCACGCCTCAGGCCCAGTGTCCTTTCCTGCTGAGTTTTCCTGGGGCAGGTCCTCCCGCGCATCCCCCTACCCAAGGCTGCCACGGGGATTCGCGGAGGGGCACGCCCAAGGGGCTGAGTGGGGGAGGCGCCCTGAACCCACCTGCCCATGCACCTGGTTCCCCCGCAGACTGCGGCCTGACGCCGGCGGCGCTCACCAGGATTGTCGGGGGCAGCGCGGCGGGCCGTGGGGAGTGGCCGTGGCAGGTGAGCCTGTGGCTGCGGCGCCGGGAGCACCGCTGTGGGGCCGTGCTGGTGGCAGAGAGGTGGCTGCTGTCCGCTGCGCACTGCTTCGACGTGTGAGTCTGAAACGCCCCTGCATGTGTCTGTAGCTCACCCGGAACCGAGCTGTTCCGACCCGGCTCCCACTGCTCCCCGCACCGCCTACCCCCATCCCAGCTCCCTGGGCCCTCCCCAACCCCACCCCCCACCCCTAGCCTGACCACCCAGGCTGGAGCTGCAAAGGCCGAGTCTTACCCCACGGACCACCCCCTGACCCGGGGGCTGTGGCCTCTCCCAGCTCGGGCCAGGCCGACGGGGACACTGAGGTCACTTCTCTCCCCAGCCCTCACCCCTCGCACTTGTCTCCAGCCTCCCAAAGCCCACCCAGTGGAAAACTCCCCTCCCCTGGCAGGCGAGGGGTTGCGTCTGCCAGCGGGGTCACCCAGCTCCGGCCCCGCGGGGCTCGAGGTCAGAAGGGGAGGACGGTGGGGAGGGACTCTCAGGGCTACCAGACCCCCTTTCAGAGGCTACCATTAGGTGGGGATGGCTGCATTTCTTGGTGCCTGGTAGCTGGGGCTTAGTGGGGGCCACTGAGCCTTTCCCAGACCAGCAGCCAGAGGCCAAGAACCCCACCCGAGGTCCCAGCCGGCCGCTGGGGGACACCGCAAGGGCGTGGGCCGCAGGGACTCGGGCCCACGCTTGTCCTCGCGCACCCTGCAGCTACGGGGACCCCAAGCAGTGGGCGGCCTTCCTGGGCACGCCGTTCCTGAGCGGCGCGGAGGGGCAGCTGGAGCGCGTGGCGCATATCTACAAGCACCCGTTCTACAACCTCTACACCCTGGACTACGACGTGGCGCTGCTGGAGCTGGCGGGCCCGGTGCGCCGCAGCCGCCTGGTGCGCCCCATCTGCCTGCCCGAGCCCGCTCCAAGACCCCCGGACGGCGCGCGCTGTGTCATCACCGGCTGGGGCTCGGTGCGCGAGGGAGGTAGGCGCACCCTGGGCCGCGGGAGTGCAGGGCGCGGTGGGGGCGGCCAGACGGGGTCCACACCTGCCCGGTCTTGCTCGCCTGCAGGCTCCATGGCGCGGCAGCTGCAGAAGGCGGCCGTGCGCCTCCTGAGCGAGCAGACCTGCCGCCGCTTCTACCCGGTGCAGATCAGCAGCCGCATGCTGTGTGCCGGCTTCCCGCAGGGAGGCGTGGACAGCTGCTCGGTGAGCCCCAGGTCCTGCCCGGCCGCCGGGGAGGGCGGGTTCCCGCTGCGCCAAGCCCACCAGCTCGGCGCCGGCCTCCAGTGCGGACTCCTCCAGCGGATCAAGCAGGGCGCCTCTGTGGCTCCGGAGGAATGTCCACTTCACAACCGTTTATTGGGCACCCACCACGAGACAGGTCCCCCCATCCACCGCATCCCACCCCTGGGCGTCGGCGGGTGGCCCCGTTTCACTTCGGGACCACGTGGCAGGTGTCCACAATGTCGGCCACCTTTGCACTGAGCCCATTTTCCAGACAGTGAAAGTGAGGGTCCCAGGGGATGTCACTCACCCAGGGGCCAGTGCCCTGAGGGCTGCTGTAAGGGAGGTGCCAGCCTCTGAACCCCCTTTCTTCTCTCCCCAACAGGGCGACGCTGGGGGACCCCTGGCCTGCAGGGAGCCCTCTGGACGGTGGGTGCTAACTGGAGTCACCAGCTGGGGCTATGGCTGTGGCCGGCCCCACTTCCCGGGTGTCTACACCCGGGTGGCAGCTGTGAGAGGCTGGATAGGACAGCACATCCAGGAGTGACGCCACGTGGCCGCCTAGGCCAGGACTCTAGGTGAAAAGCAGCAGGGCCAGCAGGCCACCGCACCCCTCCACCCCCCTCATTGTACCCTACCCAAGGACAGACGTGGGGTGGTAGGCACTTGGGTTGTAACATTTTGTTACAATGAACACAGCCCCTCCACCCTAGCTCACCAGCTCAGCACCTCGGTGTCACAGCGAGGACCACTGACCTGCCTGGTGCTCCACCAGGACCTCAGGTGGAAGGAAGTGGGGTCTGCAAGGTCCTCTGAACTGGCCACACGGGGGACTACACCATGATGACCCCTGTGACCCACACGTACGCCTCCAGAGGATCTCCCAGAGCCAGAAAGTCTAGTCCAACCTTGTGACACCCCCGCCTTGCAAAAAAGCCATCCTGAACTGTAACTTTCCACTGCCCACCCCACACCTATAAAACCAGCTCCTATCCCGTCGCCCTCCGCTGACTGTCTTCTGCATCGGCCCACCAGCGCCAGAGCGAATAAACAGCCTTGTTGCTCTCACAAAGCCTGTGGAGGGGTCTCTTCATGCACAGCGCGATTAACATTTGGTGCCGAAACCCGGGTACCCCCTGTGACTTCTCCCCCAATCAACTCCGACCACTTTGTCTGCCCCACATAATTGCACGTCTCCTTCCTCTTATTTCCAGTTAGCTCTACAAAACTCAAGCCATTCTTTGCTAAACCCATCCAGCCGAACCCTAACAAAAGGTCGCTGGTTTGGGGTCCCCTCTATCAGCTACAACTTACACTGTCACTTCCGTCCCTGCAAAGACTTGGGTTCCTACTCGCCTGAATTGTTACCCTCACTATGAAGGAAGAAGGCGCCTTCAGCTCTTAAATATGCAGTCAGCCATCTGTAACAAGGTCGGACATACCGACAGGACGCGCACCACAGCTTCTGCACTCCTGCGTTTCCAACCTCACTCCATATACAGGTAAAACAAACCCATACCAGGTTCTGTAACCACAAATACCGTTTGTTTGGTTTTTTTTTTGAGACAGAGTGTTGCACTGTCACCCAGGCTGTACTGCAGTGGCGCGATCTCGGCTCACTGCAATCTCCGCCTCCTGGGTTCAAGCAATTCCCCTGCCCCAGCCTCCCTAGTAGCTGGGATTATGCATCAGCCACAGCGCCTGGCCCACAAATACTGTTTTAACTCTTTAGGCCCCTTTACGCTTCCAACACAATCCATCCTCTGGCCCAGCTCTTAGCCACCTCCTACCCTGTCGATGCCACTTAACAACTCCAGACCCCAACGGATTATCACAACTTTGTCGGCGCCCAACCCGCTTCATGTAGCCGACCTGTCTGCTTTACAGGACCCCCAGAAGTCAGCACCACCTCTCTGCTTAACAATCAGGGTTTTGTAACGCTTTCTCATACATCATGAAAACAAGACCTCTCCTTCCACACAATGACTCTATCAAACCCCACTACAACCTTTAAAAGTCGCAGCCCTTGCTGGTGCTGTTGGTATCTGGGGACAAGACCCCAGCCCCCGTAGAACGTTTTCTCACCTTTTCTGTCTACACTTCCAGTTCTGCCTGAGCCAAGGACTTTTCTTCCTGTGGCTCTTTCGCCTACCTCTGCCTTCTTACCAACGAGAGAGGCACCTGTACCTTAATTTTCCTTACTCCCAAAATCCAGTTTGCCAACAAAAATGACCATCTCCCTGTCCCTCTTGTAACTACTACATGACAAGTCATTCCATGAATCCCCTTCCTTGTAGGACTGGGGTATCCACTGCTGCAACTGGATCAGGTACAGCAGACCTTACTACTTCCATCACCGCATTCCGGGGTCTCTCTAATGATGTTTCCGCCAGTATTTCAGACATACTCAAACACTGTTCTCCAAGACCAGGTTAATTCATTCCCTGGCTGCAGGTGACCTGCAAGATCGTCAAGTCCTCAATCTACTAACTGCTAAAATAAAAAAAAAAAAAGACTGTCTATTCCCAAATAAAGAACGCTGCTTTTATCTAAACCAATCCGGCCTTGTACATAACGCCATCAAAAGGCTTAAAGACAGGGCCCAGAAGCTTGCTCATCAGGCAGACAATTATTCTGGACCTAGCTGGCCTCTCTCCAACTGAGTATCATGGCTCCTTCCATTGGCTGGCCCCTTACACCCATCTTTCTCCTCCTCTACGCGGACTAGTCTCTCAATCCCTAGAAAACCATATCCAGGCTATAATCAATCAGTCAATACAGCAAATGCTCCTCCTAACAACCGCAGATCATCGATCTTTGCCTCAAAACCTCTCGGCAGTCTGAATTCCCTCCCATTTTTTAGGTTTCCACGCCGCTCCCACTCGCACTCACAGAAGCGCTGAGAAACATCGCCCATCGCCGCTCTGTACCACCCAAAAGTATTCACTGCCCCCGTTTTCTAGTTGTTAATATACGAAAGGCAGGAATGCAAGGTTCTTTGAACTGGCTGCACCATGGTGACCCCTGAGACCCACAGAGCCAAAAAGTCTAACCCAACCTTGTGACACTGGACCTTGCCACACCTCCCACCCCCACCCCCAGCTTGCAAAAACCACCCTGAACTGTGACGGGTTAACTTTCCATTGCCCACCCCAAACCTATGAAACCAACTCCTAGCTCACCGCCCTCTGCCCTCTTTTCAGACTCAGCGCGCCAGCACCGGGGTGAATAAACGGCCTTGCTACTCACACAAAACCTGTTTAGGGGATCTTGTCATTCAGAGTGCACTTTAACAGGGTGAAAGCAAGCCCTGCCCCGGGGAGGGCTGTCCCCCCTAGCCTTTGGGACGGGGTGGCGCCAGCAACACATTCCTCGTGATTCAGCAGCCCAGCGGCACTAAGGGAAAAGATGGGGCTGGGTGCGGGTGCGGTGGCTCACAGCTGTAATCCCAGCACTTTGGGAGGCCAAGGTGGGCGGATCACGAGGTCAGGAGATAGAGACTATCCACGCTAACATGGTGAAACTACGTCTCTACTAAAAACACAAAAAATTAGCCGGGTCTGGTGGCGCACACCTGAAGTCTCAGCTACTCGGGAGGCTGAGGCAGGAGAATCTCTTGAACCCGGGAGGCAGAGGTTGCAGTGAGCCGAGATTGCACCACTGCACTCTAGCTTGGGCGACAGAGCGAGACTCCATCTCAAAAAAAAAAAAAAAAAAAAAAAACCAAAAATCAAAAAGATGGACTTCCCCCATCCCAGAGGAGGCTGAGGCCCTCCGAGCTGGGGTTCCAGGGGCAAGCGTCACCTTCTCCCAGAGACCCCTCAGGATGGAAATAAACAGGTTTCTCTCGGCCCTCCCCCAACAATTTATTTGCCCATCCGCGGGAGGTGACAGCTCAGGTGGGGTCTGACCCCCGCCAACTCCAAACTCCAAACAAGAGTTCTCCACCCAGAATATGAGGCTGACCTGGGCACACCAGGGGAATACCCCAAAGCCTGAAGGTGCCTCTGGGCTGGCAGCACCTTGGGAAGGCACAGGGCCGCTCACCCCGAGATGCAGGCTGCGCTGGCTGGCAGGGGGCAGGGCGGGGGGGGTGGTGAGAACACAGTCCCATCTGTCCCAGCACCGGAGCCACCCCTCTAAGCCCCGGGCAGGCAGTACGCACATGAGGGCCCCACCTCTCAAAGCACGTTTATGGAAATAAACAGGGTGGGGTGGCCACCGGCCCGCCGGTCACATGTTGGCTCGTTCCCGCTGCAGCCGCGAGTTGTAGGCGCGGGACACGGTGTTCCAGGCGTCCATGTAGCGGTCCATGCACATGGCGATGCACTTCTGCGGGAGGGGAGGGCGCACGGCTCATTCCCGGCGCTCGCGCCCCCGGGGTCCGCCCGCACCCTGGCTCCAGGCCGCCCCGGCCGCTGGCTGCGCACGTGCAGTGGCCGCTCCGCTGCGCTTCCGGTCAGTCCGCGCACGCGCAGACGCCTCCCCGCCCAAATCCAGACCCTCGCGACCCTCGCCACCAACCTCCGCGGGTCTCACCTGCTCGGAGTTGTCCAGGGAGCCCCCAGGTTTCCCGATACACTTCCGGAAACACTTGTCCGTCATCCTCTGTGGAGACACGCCAGGCTTCAGCCGTGACGCCGGCCCTCAGGGGTGGCCCTGTCGCCCCCAGCCCCCGCCCCCGGCCAGCCCCGCACCTGCAGCAACTCCTGCGCGTTGGCCACGGCGATCTGCACCTTCACCTGCTCCATGATAAGCCCTGGGTCCAGCTTCCCGCTGCCAGAGCCCCCGAAATCCGAGCCGAAGCCGCCCTCCATGGCTCCGCAGTCAACCGGACCGAGGCCGCGTGCGCCGACCCGTAGCCGCGCCGGAAACGGGCCGCCCGGGGCACCACGGGAATCAAAGCCCGCGAGGGCGAGGACTGAGAACTACAACTCCCAGAAGGCCGCGCGCGCCCGGCCCGCTCCAGGTTGCGCGGGGGCTCTCCGCGCATGCGCAGGCCTGGACTGACCGTTACCGACTGCAGCCGCCCGTGCTTGCGACTCCGCGGGGAGGGAGGTGCCACTGCGTGAGGCGGAGGCCGATTACTTGGTACTCAAGCTCCGCCTCCGGCTTGTCCCGCGGTCTGTTGCGCATGCGCACCAGGCACCCAGCGCGTCTAACCACGTGCTGCCGCCGGGGCGGAGCCCGGAGGAACCCGGTCGCGGCAGGTGACGAAGAGTCCGTGCAGCTGCGTCGGAGACTCAGTAGAAAAAAAGACTGGGGCCTGTCTACACTCGCCAGCGACCTTTTTCCTTCGGGGTGGAGGGTCTTAGACATCCGCTTCATTAGGGGCAGAGGCCCTGGCTCGAGCTTCCCTGCACTAGAATACTCAGAGGCAGAACTTAAAATCAAAATGTTTATTGGAGTGTTGTACAAAAAAGTTTCCAGTCATAAAATGTATATTACAAATCATTGGAAAAGAAAACCCCACACATTTGGCATGCATCTTCTTAAAAACCGAATCTCTAAAATGAAAGCCCACGCCGGCCCGAGGCTGCAGCCCAGCTCCGTTTGCAGGTTGTGCTGTGACGCTCGCTCGATGCAGGGCTTGGAAGAGGCTGCAGGCGGCGGCGCCCCAGGACTGAGACCCTCAGATCTTTAACAGAAAGAACTGCCACGTGCAGGCCTCAGGCCAACCCCAGCCAAAGCCGCTGGCATGAGGATAGGTGCATGATCGGATTCTGGGTCAGCCTGCAGGCCCCGGCTCCTGGGCTCAACGGGGCAGGCTTCATTGTTAACCTGGGGCTGTGCACCCCAGAACCCGGTTGGTCCAGCAGCCGTGGGTCTCCCCCCAAGGGCTGGGCGGCGTCTGATGCTTGAGGGTGCTAGGCTTAGACTCACACGGCATGGGCTTACACAGAGGGACGGTTTCGCATCTTCTAAGCGGCACAAAGCTAAGCGTATTTGGGGACAAATGCAAATTGTTTCCCAGGCCATAAATAACTTTTAAAAATTTGATTTTCTTAGTGTTTCCAAAGACTCATTATTCAATGAACCTCCAGTCACCCACAGGCCACCCAGTCTGCGTCTCTCGCCACCCCCTTCAGCTAAGGGCACCCACAGTGCTATGGCCGCCCACAGCACCACTCAAGGCAAATGTAGGGTGGGGGGTCCTGGACAGGGTTGGGCAGCCTCTGGACATCGGGACCTGCGAGTTTTGGGGGAACTTCTTTGTCCGTGACCCAAGCCTGCAAGGCTGTCAGCAAATCACAGACCAACTCCGGGATACAACCTTGCTCCCCCAGGCCCAAAATACATAGGATGCGGCTGAGACCACCAAGACCCACCCCAGAACCCTCACGGCACGAAGCCTGGCCGGTGTGGTCCGGATGATTCCTGCTGTGAGGGTGGGGAAGAGGACACAGCCTGGCGCCCCCATTCCCACTTCCAGAGGCCGGCAGAGGGTGTCCTGGGTCAGGCAAAGCTCCCCACCAGCCGACCTTCCAGGAGGATATGCTTTGGTAAGACACGCTCCCTCTACATGGGCGGGGACTTCTGAGAGCGCAGACAGTGATGGGGGCACATGGGGCAGCAGGTGTTTCTGCTCTGTTGGCCGCTGGCTCCTTCCTGGCCTGGGGCTCTGGCCTCCCATACCCTCCTCCCACCAGCAAGTCCCCAAGGAAGTGGACACTCAGTCCAGGGGAGCGGCGCTACCCGTGCCCTGCAGTGGACGCCACGGCCCAGAGACGGCGCGACCCATGGCTCAGTATCGGCGTCTTTAAGACTCGAGCTGCACTTTCTGAAAGAGGCTTTGCCGTCGGAGGGTCCGCCAGCCCCACGCCACCCGAGGAGGTCAGCCTGCCCTCAAGGCCCCGGCGTTAACCCCTGATCTGCGTACTGACCAATGTAAAAAAATAAATATCCATTAAAAAAATAACATCTGTGTATCTATGAGGGAGGATGTAAACGGTGAGCTATTGCCAAAGGGGGGTGCTGGGTGTCGGGAAGCTGGACTGAGGGGCTTGGGGGTGTCGAGACAGGAGTCAGGTGGCCTTGGCCTGGGAAACATGGTTTCAGCGAGAAAGTCCCAGATAAAGCTACAGTATGGATATGCACGTGTATATATAGACGCAGGGCAGAGGGGCAGGGAGGGGCCCGCACCGCTCTCCTCCAGAGGGTCAGGCATGGTGGCGTTTCCTGCAGACAGGTGCTCTGAAACTCACAGCCTCTGTGTCTGAGGCAACCAGATTATGTCCCCTCCACACTGTGGTCATGACAGGTCTTACAACAGGACGGTCCTCATTCTTTCTTCCCTGGGTCCCCCCTTCCCTGCCCTGTCAGCCCTGCAGTCAGGAGCTGAGCTTCGAAAAAACTCCAGCAAATAAAGTTGACGGTCAGAAAAACCTGGGAATCTGGAAGCCCAGGCAGCACAGTGAAAACCCACCCTGGGGGCCACGTGATCCCTACGCTGGTCCACGCCTGCTGTGTGGCTAAGGGGTTCCCACTGTCCAAAGCTGAGCAGCCAGAATCTGCAGGCCTGGCCCCCAGCCCCACCAGGTCAAAGCCTGAACTCTGAATTTGGTTTTGTAGAAAGCCTTCAAAAAGCAAAACCCGGCTGGGCATGGTGGCTCAAGCCTGTAATCCCAACACTTTGGGAGGCCGAGGTAGGTGGATCACGAGGTCAGGAGTTCAATACCAGCCTGCCCAATTCGGTGAAACCCCGTCTCTACTAAAAATACAAAAATTAGCTGGATGTGGTGGTTCACGCCTGTCATCTCAGCTGCTCAGGAGGCTGAGGCAGGAGAATCGCTTGAACTCAGGAGGCGGAGGCTGCAGTGAGCCAAGGTCGCAACACTGCACTCCAGCCTGGGCAACAGAGCAAGACTCCGTCTCAAAGAAAAAAAAAAAGCAAAACCCACCACCACTGAATTCCTCCGTGATCTCGGTCCGCATGAAGACTGCCTCCTGTCCCCTCCCAAGCCTGCCGGCCCTCCTCCCTCCAAGCCTGAGCATCTTCATCTTCTAAACCTCGGGGTCCTGGCCCTGGGCTTCCACATGGTGAGATGGGGAGCGGGGTGGATTGGAAAGTAAGTCTCCGGACCATGGTGAAGTGACGACGAAGCGGAGCTGGAGGAAAGCCACCGAGAGGGAGGGCTGGGGAGACCCGCCCACACGTTCTGGCAGTTTGCTTAGAAATTCTCTAAAAATGTATCAAGAACTAAATAAAGCCAATGATATAAAAATAGTTTTCAGTGGCTCTGGGTAAAGGTGTGTGGATGAGGAGTGTGGGTTCACATCACGCAGCAGCCTCGCGAGGTGGTCCTCGGGTCCCCCTGCAGGAAGGAAGGAAGGAAGGAAGGACGGCCACGGTCAGGAAGCAGGCCACCTGGAGGCGGCCGGCCGGCAGGTAGCTAGCTGGCTGTCCCCACCTTCCCCACCAGGGAGAGGCTGGACAGGCCAGGGCGGAGCAACAACAGCGTCTACTTCTAGAGACTTCCATTCCATTTCCCCACGAGCCTGACTGTGAGCTACACGTTCTGTTTTTGGGTTCCAGAAAGAACCACAGGAATCTTGCAATGCGTGCATTTGATGTGGTTTCTGTACTCACCTCCCCAAAAGCCAGCACTGAAGGGGCCTGTGTCTTAGACAGAGGAAGCCTGGTTGACCAGAGAGCATCTGGGGAGCTGTTCAACACCCACCTCCCAGGGGTCCCCCACGCCAGCTACCCTGAGAGCTGTGATGTCACACATCCACACGATGGGCACGACCCAGGAGGCAAGAGCGGGTCTGCCGTGCCTGTTAACAGCCAAGGCTGGCTTCACCCTGAGCCACGGGAGCCAGAGGCAGCGTGTGTGTGTGTGTGTGTGTGTGCGCGCGCGCGCGTGCACGAGCTCACGCTGCCCCAGAGGCTGTTCGCCAGCCACGAGTGGGCACAGGTGCCCTACCTGCTGGTGGAAAAGGTCCTCCTCGCCGAACTCGGCTTCCTCCTCCTCTTCCTCCCCATTCTCATTCTCCCGCAGCACTGAGGACTGCTTCACGGTCCTGATGGCCACCTCCTGTGTGGGACGGGACACAGCAGCACGTCCGGGATCAGGCCCAGAGCTGCTGTGTTGGCCCCAAGGGTCCCCAGACCCCACCCAGGACCCCAGCCGAGCACCCCTCAAGTCAGGCACCCACCTCGCCATCCGCATTGACCAGGACGGTGCGGAAGCTCTCGCCCGTGCCCCAGCTGCTCTGGCCCTTCCACACCAGCGTTGAGGGGGGGCTGTGGGCCACCCCCGCCCCAGCTGCCCACACCTGGGGACCCAAGAACAAGGACCCCCATCAGGGTCACCTCTGGTTCCTGGGACGCGGACCAGCCACTGGCCCCTACCAGGCAGCCCCCTTCAATGCCCTGGGCATTCAGTCCTTCCAGCCCAACGCAGGCTTGTCCAAGGTGATGGTCCCCAGGACACAGAAGCAGGGAACAAAGTGGCCAAAGGCTCCTGGCTCTAGCCCCCAGGCTCCACAGTCCATGCCCCTGACTGCTACATGTCACGGGACGCCTGCCAGCCCTGACGGCCTGGACTCAGACCCTGGGCACGCTGCTTAGGCTCAGGGAGGCTCAGTGGAGCCACACGGGCGCATGGAGGTTCCAGGACTGCAGCAGCTCCTCTGAGATGGCGCCTGCTGCCACCGCCACCCCACCCCCTGCCGAGTCCCACACCTCCAGCCCCATCTCACACCCGGTCCGTAGCCACCCTCGCCCTCCTGCCCCGCCACCTACCGTGACCATCTGGCCGGCGCGCAGAACATATTTGGGCGTGAACTTGTAGGCGATCTCCTCCCCCTCCAAGATCTGCCTCTTGATCCTCCAGTTCCCCAGAGACTGATCCTGGAAGATGCGGCGCAAGCACCGCCCTCAGCCGCCAGGACTGCGACGCCTCCCCCTCACCCACGGCCCTCCCCATCAGCTGGGTCACGCTCATTACCCCTGTGCCCCGGTCATCCCTGTCACCCCCATCTGCTGGGTCACCCCCGTTCCTCTGTGCCCCAGTCATCCCTGTCACCCCCATCTACTGGGTCACCCCGGTTCCACTGTGCCCCGGTCATTCCCGTCACCCCTATCCGCTGGGTCACCCCCATCTGCTGGGTCACCCCCGTTCCACTGT